TAGTTTTGAAATGTAACCTTATAATAATTATTTCAGGAAACTCAAAGAAGACATCCAGCTACACTGTTGTTCAGCAGTCAACAGCCTCAGAGTCGTCACGTCCAGAAGACTCAGAGACTCTGCAGTGTTCAGTTCTCTCTGAGTCAGAGAACAATTCATGTTCAGAAGATCTCAGCATGTTCTGGTTCAAAGCTGGATCTAACAGATCCTATCAAAATATCATCTACACTGGTGGTAAAAGAGCTGATAACTGTGTGAAAAGTCCAAATACCCCCAAAAAATGTATCTATAACTTCCCCAAGAACATCAGCTCCTCTGATCCTGGGACTTACTACTGTGCTGTGGCTACATGTGGAGAAATCTTATTAGGAAATGTAATCAGAAAGGATGGAGGTATTATAAACATATTGAGAAATATGCACAACAATAAATGATTATCTCAATGGCTAGGAGATGCTCATGTTTCTTATTTCTCTTTTCTAGGTCAAACATTATGTTACAAAAATACGATTGTGCTGATCACATTAATCATTTTCGCCGTTTCTGTTATCGTACATATCATTTTGATCTTTTATCGAACTCAAGTCTTGCCATGTCAAATAGTTAAAGGTAAGTATTATTAACCGAACAATATTTATTTTGTATTCTAATTAAAACTCAAGATCTATATAAGAAAATAACAACCTGAGTTTATGTTATGCTTTAAAAATGTGCCATCTAACAGATCATTAAAATCAAATGTTATCATTAATGCATGTTGCTCTTTGTTCCACAGAAAGCCCCTCAGTAGCAAAACGCAACAACTTGAACAACCAAAGAGATGAAATTGTGGGTAGTGATAAAAAAAAAAAAAAAAAAAAATTCCAAAACTCTTATTTGAGTAAATTTGATACTCTTAAAGCTTCAATTTCTTTAACTTTACATCAAATGCATTTCTCTGAACAGCCTGATGATGGACAGGATCTGATCTACTCTGCATTACACTTTTCTGGAGGGAAGAAACCAAGAGGAACAAAGAAGATGGAGATGAAGACTGAAGACATTGTGTATTCAGAAGTCAGACCATCAGTTTGAATTAATGTTGAGAGGAAACCTGCACTCTTTCAAAAAAAGAAGTCTTTTTTTTTTTT